CCAAAGTTATGACCACATACCAAGGCAGCAATAAATTAATCGAGGTCATATAGGAGATACTGTGGCAAGGAACACCTAATCGATCTCTCCGCCCCTGACGGCAGTTCAGTCCCAAGCTTCAGAGTTCATTCTCAGTGATGACATTCTCCGAAATATGCCGACAGTCCATGCTCTAAACTTGTCATGAGGAGTGCCTGGCTCTCTAAGGTGGCCTCTTCTTCTCCAAGTTCACCCATTCATCTGGATTTTGGCACCTATTCAAAGTACCTTACCATTCACTTTATTTCACAATCAGACTCAGTGTGGCTATAAAAGCAGTCCAAAACTATTCAACACCTTCACCACAGCCTCGTACTGCATTCTGTAGAATAATTACGGGATTCAACACCTCATCTACCTTCTGGATGACTTCTTTCTCAATCGTCTCCTCCAGCTCAGCATCCATCACACTTCTCATGACAATAACCCCATCGCCGACGCCACCTCTTCAGTGAGTTTTAGAGGCACACAGGGTTTGAAATGATTCTCAGACTCTGGCAATTCCTCAAACCTCTACATCCTTCCTCAGCTCCATTCAAAGTCTATCTCATCATGGTCACTTCACTCTTGTCGGGTCAAGAACGGGAATGTAAAACCGACCTCGTCTACTTCAACAACACTGCAACCACTGACATTATCAACAAAGGTTGAAGAGACTCTCGGGCACTGGACTGCCTGCTTCGTTTCTGTTTTCTCTGACACCAAGATGACACCTGTCCCCCTTATTTCCGTTCATATGTTACTTGCTAAAGACCCAGGACATTAGCTCCAGACACAGAGGAACTCCTGATGCCTAGACCTCAGTTTCCATGTACAGTGCTGCTGATCTAAACCCTGACCCATTTCACAGATTTAACACAGGACACCATTCTCAGTGTTGTTACCCAGAACACGTTCCTCCTACTAGTCAGCATGTAACTCCCGCTCTTCTTTCTGGGCTTTTTTAGACTTCTAAGATGCACTGAATTCACATAACAATCAAACCAATATGGCCCACTCATACATCCAAAAATAACAGATTGGTAGATCATATCCGAATCAATCATCACTTATGTTCCTAAACGTTACAAAACCAACCAGCTAGGCAACTCTGTACCCATCCTTGATTTCTGGCTTCCGTCTACCCTAAGCCTATATGAACTGCTCGTGTGTCACCTACAACTTACACCACAACGCCTCCCCGACTGACCCCTTTCATCTCAGACATTGGACAAGTTGCCACTAGGTTCTGTTTACTTCATCACTTCGAGATCATTCCATCTCTCTCTGGCATCTCACCCGACTTTGACTCAGGACCTTCATTCAGAACAGAAGCAGCTTCAACCGCCTACAGCAAAGGCATCCCCAGTCATCATATCAAGACCACGGGTCATTGGGCTTCCCAACCCTTACATGGTTAGTTCATAACCATGTAAAAACAAAACACCATTTTCCTCTCATACACTGAGGGTGGGGCCTTAACTAATAAATTGGAGATTTTCAATATCTGTGCCCAAAGCACACACCCCTTCTTCCTTCAATCACATTTAAACTACCAAAGACAGACTCTCTTCTGCTTTTCATAACCCACACTCCCTCCCCTTCTTCTCATCATCCTCTTCTCTCTCCCTCCTTTCATGCAGAGGTCCACCAGTGCCCGGGAGTGTTGCAGATCGCCGAAGCTTTCTGCCCAGACCGCAGTTCATAACCAAGTTTACACAAAGCACCAGCCTTAGATAGTGAATAGTTGGTGCCTACTTTCCTGATGATGAGATAAAAGTTTATTTTGAAGGACTGAAACCCCAAACCTGCTTTTTCCTGTTCTGTAATCAATATTTTGTCTGAAACAATAAGACTGATGTCAACCATGTATGATAGCAGTAGTCACCCACAAACTAAAATCTAACTAACTAAAGAAAAATCTAAGCTGCAAGTGATATTAATCATGTTTTTAAGCAAAAATGTCAGGATCACCTTGCTCTCGTCTTCTTCCTCCTCCCTGATCAGCCAGTCGGTCGGCTAGCTCTTCCTGAATCTGCTGCTGTTGTCTGGGAGGTAGTCTCCACAGTGCCTGACCCATCTATATACCAGCACAGTGACAATTGATTAATTTCAATGACAATATATAGCCTATATCATATATCAAACTAACATTTATGGCAGTAAGTGAAAGATTGTTGCAGACCCCTTTCCCCTCTGCCATTTTTCTCATTTTTACCTTCTAGCACAATTTGACAGCTGCTTGTACAGCAGTAGGCTTAACATGGAGAATTTTTTTTAACTATCCTATTTATGTATTAAGTAAATGTACAATTATTTTGTTTACACTGACTAAACTAGTTGGGGATTTCTAGAAGAAAACATCTAAATCATGTTAGCTATATGTTAGTATGGTGGCAAATTATACAAGTCAACACAGGATACTTGTTGTCGTGATCTTCAATTACTCTCATCCTGTTAGTTAATCAATCAATCAGTCCAAACCCACAAGAAATAAAGGAGTAATACCCAAGACACTGTCCATGTAACACAACTAACCTTAGAAATACCATACTATAGGACAACAGTCCTCTTGTACTTTCATGTCTGATGTTCTGGTAGTGCTTTAACCCAATTAAATGTTTGTGAAGAATTAACAATAATGAATTTTAAAAAGCGGGTTCCCGTAGACCTATTTAATATGAGGTCACGTGGAATGAAAGTGAAAAAGATCACTGTGATCATATACAAACCACTGACATACAATACACTATGTTAACACGTTAATGGCAACGTCAACTTAAAGCACGGACAACTGAATTTCAAAATTAGCTTCGAAGGTCAGTCATGTAGGACATGTCACGTGTGTGTGCCAATTACAAAGCAGAAAAACTGCCCAGTCGTCATTTCTCTCTCAGTCTGTCTAACGTCACTCGTGTTGCATAAACAAATCCATTGCACTGTTGTAAACATCGACGTTGGAAGTTGCAGAGTGCAGGGTAGTTTGACCTGTAGTCCCACCTTCCCTCCAATGCTATTGGCCACGCCTAGCAGAACGTCATTCACTGTGAAATATCATTTGTTGAATTGGTTTTCATTCACAACCAGTTCTCACAAATCCTGAGTTAGCTTAGCGAGCTAGTTTAAGTTGATAAAGGTAGTGTCGACCCAAATTAGTTAACTATGCTGCCTTATTCAACAACATTTATATTATTTCTTCAACAAGCATGGTATAGTATTTCCGAATAAGAACGATACAGCGCTGTAACCCGAGGTACCTACCTGCGTTTAGTGATTCCTCTGACAACTCGACCTGCACAGGACAGCTGGAGATACGATTTTCCTGCTATCAAATGTGTCCAGGTGTCATTTCATTCAGCTAACGTTTGTTAAATATTAAATCAAAACAGAGCAGTTGCTCCTCGGGTTCAGGAAGAACCTTCCATATCGTATTCTGCTACTACTAACACAACTGTCATCTGCTCACACGGTTTTCATCCTCCTCCTTTCACGTCGAACCCTCCCCCTTTTCTCCCTCCCGTCATCACAGAAACATGAGCTAAGAAAATATTTGGGGTTTTACAAATAATAATGAGTCAAACCTATTCATTTTCAATGCCAAAACACTGCGAACACGAAATGGACAAATAAAACAGCACGAAAAACAACAACAGAAAGCAGTGTGCGCACAGGTTACGACATGACGTCATCTAGTTTCAATAGTGGAGGTAGATACACGGTTAAGGACCTAGGTGCCAAAGGGATTTGACCTCCTGCAGGCTGTCTCGTGAGCTTTTGAAGCCGATGATTTGGAAATCTTATAAATCCATGTCATAATTTATGGGACATAAATTATGACATGGGACATTATGATATTTATGGGACATAAATTATGGATAGGCCTACATATTTGCAGATTGTAGAAAAATAGGGTTATGTGAGTGGAAGTCTTGAGACAGTCCAGCATATTCTGATCTGTAGAAAATATGAAATTGAAAGGAATGTACTGTATAAAAGATGATCAGAACAACTTTTGTTTTTCAGATGAAACTTTGCCTGGCCAATAGGAGAACCATCAACTAATTACAAAGCTAATTATTCAGTTTGTGCATGCTAGAAGTTTATATCCAATAATATGAACTGTAGTTAATGTATCCTAACATATTTTCCTCCCATGGAGGGCAGCAGTATTCTTAGAGAATTCTAAACTAATCCATAATAGAAAAACAACAACAACAACAACAACAACAACAGCAAGGGCATGCAACAATGACAATTTTCAAAAAAATCATTCAAGGTTTAAAAATGTCTTTATTTGCAGGCGGCACCAACTAGAGGAAGGGTAAAAATCTTGCTTTCCCAAAATCACAAAGCTTTGAATCAGGTTGTTCAGTTGGAAAAAAGGGTTTAAAAGTAAATACATGATCTTTGGTTTAAATGAGAAATTTCCTGTGTTTTTTTTTTTTAGAGAGAATTAAAGATTTGAGGCCATGTGGGTGGATGAAGGGTTATTATGAAACTCTCACACAGATAAAATAGTTACTAAATGTGAAGAAGTAAAAAACTATGTTTTGTAGATTAGCTGGTAGTGACTGGGGAGCTGAGAGGGACTCTTTGCACATGATTTATAAAGCAATGATAAGATCTGCTTTTTATGCGAAGCCTATGTGGTATTTGTTTTATATCTCAGATTTTTACAAAGATATCTAAATATTTGAAGATATCATAATTTTGTCTGTGGTGGGCAACATTACACTACAATACAACCCCAAATTAGAAAAAGTTGGGACAATATGTAAAATCAAAATTTTAACTGAAAATAGTGACTTGTAAATCATTTGTTTCCTGTATTACACTGAAAACAATACAGCAGCACATTATTTGATGTGATACCTCATTAACATTATTCTTTGTTCAAAGTAAACACTCACTTAAATTCTGATGCCTGCAACACATTCCAAAAAAAGTTGGGACAGTAAGGTATTTACCGCGGTGAGGTATCACGTCAAATAATGTGCTGCTGTACTGTTTTCAATGTAATACAGGGCACAATGATTTACACATACTATTTTTAGTTAAAATTTTGATTTTACATACTGTCCCAACTTTTTCTGATTTGGGGTTGTATATAACCTGTTGGAAATCCATCAGAAGAAGAAAAAGACATTCTTAAATAGTTAGATTATATTTGGTGTCAGGCTTTAAGATTGTGTACAGGTTCATCTAAAACAGCCCAGCAGCACTATACTTTGAAATGGGAGAAAAGAGAAGAATACATCTACTGTATCATTAAGTATTAGATTCATTTGCAGTCAGGATCATCAAATATAAGACATCTTAAAACCATAATGGGAAAAGGAGAGAAGGGAAAGAAAAACCTTTGGGTGGACAGCAGAGAAGGCAGCAGAATGGAGAATAATATCAGTCCAAGAGTACTGTTACTACTACCAATAATACAACCTTATGTAGCCAGGTGGTAAACATGTACTAAGGGGAGGTAAATAAATAACTAAATTGTTTTCCACTGATGGTGAAAGAGCAGTCGTCTCCCAGCTGGAAGGTTGAGGGTACGAATCTCGGTACCTGCAGTCCACATGTCGAAGTGTCCTTGGGCAAGACATTAAACCCCCCCAAGTTGCCCGTGATGGTGGCACGTATGCATGCAGCAGCCCGGGGCCCTTGGCTCCAAACAAAATTTTGTTGTACGTGTCACAATGTTACAATGAAAATAAAATAAAGCTTCTACTGGAGTTTAATGTCACCTAGTACCTTGGCCACTAGATGGCAGCATGGAATGAGATGTGTACGTTCCGCCAAAGCTTGACCAAATGCATTGTGGTCCCTTCCTTCTTTACGTTGGACCAAGCTTGAGAGTGGAGCGCCGTGATTCTTTTAACATATGTAAGTAAATACGCTGAAAGCTTGTTGGATTCTGTTGTATCAACACTTTAAAGAAGTCATCTATCAGAATTCTGACAAGATGGTGTATTATAGATGCTGATGGTGCTGGCAGTGGTGTGTCCAACATAGAGCTGGTGAGTTTTTGGTGGGATGCAAGTGTCTTTACGTATGTGAGTGTGACATTTTACGGATTTTTGGTGACTGTTTGGTTATTTGGTTTTTACATATTATTTTATTTTGTTTGTGTGTGCATCCAGAGCCCACTGCCATATTTTGTTACTTCTTACTTTTGCTACTTCGTGTTTTGTTACTCCATATCTTTTCGTGTGTAAATAAACTGTGACCTGCTGGACATCGAAGCTGCGATGACCCCAGTAATTGTGTCCTGTGTGGCAACCACTTTACCCGGGATACACTTAAATATGTAACTGATGCCACAGTAGATTTTACATTAACAGAAATGAAGATTGGTTTATTTTCAGTTCATACACAATAAAGGTCTATATTGATGGCTGCTGCAGTTACATTTAGATTTACAAAGAATTCAGTCAGTAAAGTAGAATTGGCATATTTTGTTTTTGGAATGTTCAGCTTAAAGGGGGGAAATGAACAGTAAAGGATTATCAGTTTACACAGACAAAATGTTTGCACTACTCCTAGCACTCCTAGAGAATACAAGGACATTGATAGCAATTGTTTGTTCAGATTCAAGTTCATGAATTTCCAGTTTACAGTACAGTCATTCGGACAACAAAGCAGGCATTCTGTTAGAAATACAATTAACACTATATAGAATTCAAATGAAGGGAACCGATAACAGTTTTGTGGGTTCCAGTACATATTGGTATAAAAGGAAATGAAATAGCAAAAAAGGTTGCATAACTATATTAATTTATCAGTTAACAATCAAAATCAAAAAAGATGGCTGCACTCTGAAGGATGCCTCAACATTGATGTTTATTCTTTAATTTAAAAAAGTCACACCTAATAGAAAACATGGATGTTTCAGCATGACTGCCGTGTCACTTGCATCACAATTCAGGCACTTCTACTCACCCAGTGTGATCAGTACAGGGGAGACTGAAAACACTGCTACAGGACTGCTCCCTGCTGTGTTTTTGTGAAACATGGCTGGGAAAAGAGACTCCCGATGACGGTATAACTCTGGATGGTTACTCTGTGTTCAGACAAGATCGCAGCACTGCTGAAAGCGGCAAGTGGAGGAGGAACGGCTGCCTTCGTCAAACAGTCCTGGTGCACAGACTGTAAGATTCTCTCTAAATTTTGTTCTGAAGATGTGGAATATTTAACACTAAAGCTAAGGCCATTTTATTTACCTGGAGAGCTGCAATGTATCATTGTGAGTGTAGTTTATGTTTATGTGGTTTAAGTCAGGGGGCCAAGCGGAGTACAGGAAAGCCCAGTGTGAGCTACAGCAGTCCATCAGAGCTGCAAAGAGAACATACTTCCAAAAACTGGAGAGCTACTACGGCATATGAATAAATGGTCTTATACTTGTATAGCGCCTTTCTACACTTTTACAGCACACTCAAAGTGCTTTCACATTATTCGGCCATTCACCCATTCGCACTCTCAAGCACTCACGCATTCACACACCAGTGTAATCATTGTGACAACTGGGGGTTCAGTGTCTTGCTCAAGGACACTTCAACATGTTGACTGGACAAGCCGAGAATTGAACCGCTAATCCTCTGGTTAGGAAACGACCCGCTCTACCTCCTGAGGCACAGCCACCCCAATAACAGCACATGCAGCATGTGGCAGGGAATCCAGGCAGTCACAAACTACAGGAACAAATCGACAAACACAGCCCCCAGGATGCCACCCTTCCGGACAGCCTCATCAACTTCTATGCGAGGTTTGACAGGTTGAATACAGACACCCCCTCAAAATCCCCCTGCGACCTGGGGGACACTCTTTTTCAGGTGATGCACACACAGGTCCTGAAGGCCCTGAAACAGGTAAACCCCCATAAGGTGGCATGTCCCCCCTAGAGTGTTGGGAGCCGGAGTGTTGGGAGCCTGTGGGGATCAACTAGCTAGTGTGTACACAGACATTTTCAACCTGTCCTTAACCCAAGCAGTAGTCCCTCGCATTTTCAAAAAATCCATTATCATACCGGTCCCTAAGACATCAAACACATCCACTCGGAATGACTTCAGGCCAGTGGCACTCACATCAGTTGCCATGAAGTGCTTAGAGAAACTGGTCCTCACACACATTAACCACATGGTCCCGGACACTGTAGACCCTCTCCAGTTTGCCTGCCGCCCCAACAGATCAGTGGATGACGCGACGGCTCTGGCTTGATTCCACATCCTGAAACACCTCGACAACAGCAGTACATGTGCTAGGATGCTCTTCCTGGATTACAGTTCTGCATTCAACACCCTTCGGCCAGGTAGGCTGATTAGGAAGATGACAGACCTCAGTGTCCCAACTCCCACCTGTAACTGGATTCTGGACTTCCTGACTGAAAGACCATGGGTAGTTAGAATAGGAGGGCGGGTGTCTGCTGAGGTCACATTCAGCACAGGCTCACCGCAAGGCTGCTGTCTCAGCCCCAAACTCTTCACCCTGTACATCCACGACTGTGTCTCCAACCATGACAACACCATCATCATTAAATATGCTGATGACACCACCATTCTGGGCCTCATCAAAATGGGAGACGAGTCGGGTTACAGAAACTTTTGTGAACGACATTCTTGTTTATGGAGAGGAGAATGACCTCATCCTCAACATAAACAAGACAAAAGAAATAATAGTAGACTTCAGGAAGAACCCCTCCCCTCTGCTGCCTCTGACCATCAAAGGGACTGAGGTGGAGAGGGCTGACAGCCTGTTCCTGGGCCTGCAGGTGACATCTGACCTGAGCTGGTCACTGAACACAGCTGTCACAGTGAAGAAAGTCCAGCAGCGGCTATACTTCATCAGGCAGCTCAGAAAAGCTGGGTTGAAC